TTCGAAATAGGTATCCAAAACGAAAAACCCCATTTCCATTTCGTATTTGAAATAAGAACAATAAACTGTTATGGATTTCAAATTTTAAATAGACTTTGAATCGATTTGCGTTTGAAATTAAATACTCCCAGAGAAATGAGAATATTAGAAAAGAGTCGATCAGAATGATACTTGTTCTATCAACTGAATCAACTCTCGAAAAAGTTAAACATCACGTGTAACTCGAAATAGCCACATTGGCAAAAACAGATGAGATTAAATTGTTTACTTGCATTTTAAATACAAATACAAGTCATAAAATTACGTGTCCGAAAAAGGCATGGACAACGGAGGGTTAACATTACGAGTAGATGGCACGGTTAATTCGAGACGACATTTCTCGTGGAGGAATTGATCCTCCATTCCCTCTGTTAATTACTTGATCGCAGTCGCTGCAAATCGACAATCCGCCTTGCGAGCCGCGGAAGGAAGGGGCGATAAGGCCCGAGGGTGAACGACGGCAAGCGAGAACGCCGTCGGGAGGCATGAGATACGCGAGAGAGCAACGGAGAACGCCGCTCCGGATGGGACGGACTAGATCGCAGCCCGGGGTAGAGAGAGGGTCTTCCTCGCCGGCGTGTAGACAGACATTGATGCTAATCCGATTATCGGGAGCCGATACCGAGACCCTCACAACAGGGAGTAGAAGGGCCGAGACAGGAGTTTTAAGAATGGTAGAGAAAGCCCGGTGCCTATGCGACCCGTAGGAGTAAGAGAGAACGCCACGTCTAGGACTCTCGAGCCCCGAGCCGGCGGCCGAGCCGAGCCAGCCCCGGCGACGGGAAACTTATTTTTGGTCTTCTCCTTCCCTTTTCCCTCCACGTGTCACGTTTGTCAGAAAATTCATGTAACGAAATATTGGCCATTTAAATTTACTTTGGGCTGTAGCGCGGCTGTTCGACAGTCGCGAAATATGCTACAACTTGTTTGCATATAATATCATATTGCAAGAATGTCAATCGTGTTTCCTCTATATACTATGCTTATTTTAGTTTACGTTTTTCGCGAAATTTCTCTTTGTATCATTTTGCTTTAATGTCAATGCCGTCAATTTGTTTTATTTTAAACCACGGAACTCTGAAATTTCATCATTTTTCAGTTTCCACATGGTTTATAAATTTGCATGTCTTAATAAAACAGGGACGACGAAAGGTTAGTTACGTGTAGACGGCATAGTTTATTCGGGACGACAGTTTTCGCTAAGGAATCGATCCTCCTTTCCCTCTGTCAATAAACTTGATCGCGGTCGTCGCAAAATGACGATACACCTTGCGAGCCCTGGAAGGAAGGGGCGATAAAGCCTGCGGGTAAACGACGGCAAGCGAGAACGCCGTCGGGAGACATAAGACCCGCGAGAGAGCAAGGGAGAACGACGTTCGGAAGAAACGAGGCCGTAGCACGGGGCAGAAAGAGAATCTTCTTTGTCGGCGTGAAAGCATTGACAACAATCCACTTATCGGGAAACCGACATTGATTATTATGAGCATTATTCGGTCATGCCTCGAAGCCCGGACGCATAAGTCTGTCTCTACTCTATGAGACGGTTAGAGCATCGAATAGGCCATCTCACTCGGACACGCGGCCTCCAGGGCGGATATATAGAGACACAAGTATGCAGTCCCCTTACCGCACCGACCCGCCGTCCACATGCTACCGACGAGGCTGAGTGTCGACGGACTCGAACGCTTCCCGAATGACTCACCCCCCTCTGCTCCTTTACCCAGCATGAGTAATGTTCGTCAGAGAATTCATATAACGAACTATTGGCCATTTAAATTGACTTTGGGCTATAGCGTGCCTGTTCGACCGTCGCGGAATACGCTACAACTTGTTTGCATGTAATATCATATTGCAAAACTGTCAATTTGTTCTGCAATATAACATTTTCTCTCCAACTATGGTTCAATCTTTTACTGTCGTAAGTTCAATGTGTTCATGTAATCAAATTTTAAAATTAACGAGAAATCCTGTGGTTCTCTCATTGGTTCATAAACTTATTTTTTATATTATGGTTTTCCAGCGTTATTCCTTCAATTTGTGAATACTTCAATCTTTTGACTACATTTTACAGTAATGTATTTGAGGTCAGGTTGAGAAAAATTAAACCATCAATTTTTTAGCAATTGATTCCCTTTTCAGCGTATTGGTCGGAGCGAATCGGGAAAAGATGGTTAGAAACTACGTTAAGCAGATTGGTCATCGAGTGTATAAAAATGACACATACGAAATCATTCAGACTGCACTCGAGCGAGAAAAACCAAAATACCAAATAACTTTGACAGATACTAAAGAAATTTATAAAGTTTTATATTGGCTGCTTGTTTTTAAGAAGAATAAAATGTATTTTAAGTTAATGTTTGATGACGGTTGCATATGGTGTTCCTAATAGCAGATTGTATTTTCTATTGGATAAAAAAAATTTGTTTCTTTAGTGTCGACCTAATATTTCTAATTTTTTGTATTTATTGACCCCCAACGTGGAGTCTATTGGGGCATCTACAGACAAAATTATATTAAAACAATGGTTCGCCCTATAAATTGCCTCACTCAGCCTCGGCGGTAGCAAGTGGACGGAGGGCCGGTGCGGTAAGTGGTCTGCATAGTTGTGTCTCTCTATATCCGCCCTGGAGGCCGTGTGTCCGTGTGAGATGGCCTATTTGATGCTCTAACCATCTCTTGGAGTAGAGACCGACTTATGCGTCCGGGCTTCGTGTCCTGACCAGATAACGGTTTCGCGTTGGCGTGGCCGGCACGGCTCGGCCGCCGACTATTGGCTCGAGGGGCGTGGCGTTCTCTCTTACTCCTACGGGTCGCATAGGCACCGGGCTTTCTCTACCACTGTTAAAACTCCTGTCTCGGGCCTTCTACTCCCTGTTGTAAGGGTCTCGATATCGGCCCCCGATAATCGGATTAGCATCTATGTCTACACGCAGGCGAGGAAGACCCTCTCTCTACCCCGGGCTGCGGTCTAGTCCGTCCCGTCCGGAGCAGCGTTCTCCGTTGCTCTCTCGCGGATCATATGCCTCCCGACGGCGTTCTCGCTTGCCGTCGTTCACCCTCGGGCCTTATCGCCCCTTCCTTCCGCGGCTCGCAAGGCGGATTGTCGATTTGCAGCGACTGCGATCAAGTAATTAACAGAGGGAATGGAGGATCAATTCCTCCACGAGAAATGTCGTCTCGAATTAACCGTGCCATCTACTCGTAATGTTAACCCTCCGTTGTCCATGCCTTTTTCGGACACGTAATTTTATGACTTGTATTTGTATTTAAAATGCAAGTAAACAATTTAATCTCATCTGTTTTTGCCAATGTGGCTATTTCGAGTTACACGTGATGTTTAACTTTTTCGAGAGTTGATTCAGTTGATAGAACAAGTATCATTCTGATCGACTCTTTTCTAATATTCTCATTTCTCTGGGAGTATTTAATTTCAAACGCAAATCGATTCAAAGTCTATTTAAAATTTTAAATCCATAACAGTTTATTGTTCTTATTTCAAATACGAAATGGAAATGGGGTTTTTCGTTTTGGATACCTATTTCGAATGAAATCAATTCGTAAGAGTTACTCCGATTTGCGTTTATAATAAACTCGGATATGAAAAGTCTTTCTTATGTTTACGGGTGCTCATTTACATGCTGATTTAATGATTTACAGGTGTCCATTTATTCGAGGAATACGAAGAATGGTGTGGAACGTAAATATATAAGAGGCATGAAATCACGATTTCGTTTCTGTGTCCGATAGTTGATGCGTCGTAAATTTTCCGACGGTATTTCACTGTATATATATTTAGAAACTATTTCTTTTAAGCTAAGATAATATTCTAACTTCGGTTCAGTGAATGGAACAATTGAATCACTAAGAAACTTGTTAACATTTAATAGAACATGTTCTATTATATTCTTTATAAAATTCTGTAAATTATTATTTTACAAAAACTACGTTAGGTGGGTCAGGGACGCTCCACAGTAATACTAAAATAATTTTCATTAATTGTTTTTGTTTATAAATATTTATTTTCTTTAGGAAATCCTTTCTGCCCCTCGAGCGATTCGAATTCCGCGCTGCTCCCGCCGCTAGTACTCTGCGCGGCCGGAGAGGGCAGTGCGAACCAGGTGCAAGCCATCGATGGAGTCCAGTGTACTACCACAGTAGCTTGACGGGGGAGATTGTTCTTTTTATATTAATTTCTCGAGCGAGTGGCTGTGATTCTTTTTATAGGAGATACGCGTTTTTAGGCGACTTCATACGGTTTTAAACAGTTTGAAACAGTCTTAAACGGTTTTAGACAATTTTACACGGTCTGACATCGTTCTAGACGGTTTTAGTTGATTTCAAACGATTTTGGATGGCTGTGGAAGTCTGTCTACCTCTTCCTGTTTTATCCTGCGTCTTTATACGTCAACTGTCACATGGTATGACAATCACGAGTGCGCCTAGCTGCCGCTGAATTTTTTCCGCATCTGCGACCACAGCAGCTTGACGCGGAAGGTTGTTCTCTTCAAATTGATCTCTTAGTAAGTGGCTGCCATTTTTCATAGAAAATACGCGTTTTTGTGTTTTGAGGCGTTTCTAGACGACTTTAGATGGTTTTAAACAGTTTTCAGCAGTTTTAGACGGTTTTAAACAGTTTTAAACAGTTTTCGATGGGTTTAGTCTATTTGAAACGATTTTGTACGGTTTTGGACGTCCGTGTCTCTTCTTGCGTTTTTGCCGCGTCTTCCTACGCCAACTGCCACATGGTATAACCATTACGAGTGCGTAAGCCGCTAGAGGCGGCTGTTAGATGACAGTACTATCGTGATTGCGCGAGCTCCCACCCGAAAACAATTGGGCCACCACTGAGGGGTAACAGGTGGCAAGTGCGTTAGCCGTCCGCATCCTCCACCGGGGGGCAGTACAGCAGATGATCGCGCGACCCTGCCCGTGAGCAATCTCCTACATCATTTCTGTAACTACCCAACTAGCCTAGTATTTTAACTCAGCTCTAGTAAAACTGATTTCCGAATATTTATAGCAAAATGAAGTATATATTCTTTCTAGCTGTTTTAATAACTGTCGATCCAGTTTGGGCTTCAAGTAACTTTGATTTTGGTGATATGTTAGCACTCGTTTTGGGATTGGTGATCAGTATTGTTGGTTTCTTTGCTTGCATGGGAGCTTACGCACGACGAAAACATTTAGAATCATTACAACATGAGTAACTGTTATGACTTTTTGTAAGTATATATATAGTAAATCTTATATCTCGCCATAACGATTGAGTGCCACCTGCGTCATTGCACTGTTCACATTTTATACTGAAAAGTGCCACTACATTGAGTCATGATGTGTAATTTTACATTCAGACTCTATTATGGCACATAGATACTAAAGCCTACTCTCCTAAATCATATCTTCCTAGGTCATCATTCACTTTCACTGATAAAGGATATATTTTACCTTTTAATCGTTAAAAGATGTTTTTTTACAGGTGAAAGTGAGTTATGAATATAGACCCTATTCTTCTTTTCCTTAAATTGATCAATGATTATATACATAAGTAACTTTGACATTACTTGCTATGATTTACAAACATTTCTATTGAGTGAAAATGTTGATGGTTTTGTAAAACATAATGCGTAAAAAACATTTAATCTTTGTAGCTTCTTTAGGTCCATTTAGGTCTAAATTGTCTTTTTTTTCTTTTATGTACTTCTTTCTTTCGTATTATTGTGCTGTTTTTAATTATCTATATATCAATTGTATAGACAAATTTATGATGTTACTATATAGGTTCATATGAATTTGATTGCACAAAATAACATAAAAATGAAAGAAGTATGAAGGTTAATTATTAAATAGTATTATTTTCAAAATGTATGTTTGTCGAAATATATTAGCTAAATATCCTTCTTGTAACTTGTGTTAATTGGAATTTACTTATTTTTACCATTAGCTGTAATTCTACAAACCATGCATTGTCTTAAATTCCAGCCTAGTAATTTTATTGAACTAATTATTTTATTTTCAATGTTTTTTATTCTGCTTTTTCTTTTTATGCATCCACTCATGTTTTTTTGCCAAACCATGCATTGTCTTAAATTCCAGCCTAGTAATTTTATTGAACTAATTATTCTATTTTCAATGTTTTATATTCTGCTTTCTCTTTTTATGCATCCACTCATGTTTTTTTATTATTAATAATATTGGATATAAATTATAATTTTTAATATTTAGTGCAAAACTCTACTGAGTTTCCCAATTGCAATGATCTACTTAGATTTTGATTGAAAGTCAAATGGAAACGTAATTGAACCTCTTGGCATTTTTCTGAGATTGTATTAAGTCCTATTGTACCATGTAGTTGATCTATTTAGTTAAATTTCTGCAATGACCCCTAGCACTCAAACGGATAACTCTTTTGCTACAAGAGTCTTCTGTAGCAGAACACACCACTGCTCAATGTGATGTCATGCCAGAAGTGTACACATTGCATGTAGACTTTGGAATTTTGATGTCGTGTCATTAAATTTGGAAACGTGATATAAAGTAGTGCAAAGAAGTTTGTAGAAGTCTGAAAAAAATTATATACTGTGCATAAATCACTCATTCGTTAACAACTACATATTTATTTATTCAGTGTGTGTGAATCATATAGGCCAACTTCATAATATGTGATTTACGGCAAACAACTCCTGCCATCTGTAGCATATGGGGTTTCATTGTGGGCAACTACAGTAGCTTGTGGTTGTAAATGGGTTAAGAAACGTTTTTGTATTTTTAAAATTTCAAGATCTATAGTTTTTTTTTTTCCATTAACTTAGAATAGGTGACGAAAATGAATACTTTCTTGTGGTTAAATAAAACATATTTTTTGTATGTTTGATATTTGCGAAGTAGTTATGGGGATGTTCTCATCTAGAGTTGTCAAAAGTAGGTCATTTCTATGTAGTTTTTTTCTTGGGAAAAATTTCCAAGTTTCTACTTTTTACAAAATTTATAATTAACCTTTCAGTGTGTTACATTTAAACTTTGGAAAAGAAATGGATATTTGACTGCTGTATCGATGAAACTCTATGCAAATAAAAAATTTCCAGTGTCATAGTTGATACTCTTTGTAAACATTTGAAAGAAATGTAATTTTAATTGTTACAATGAAGAAAATTGTTATGTCAATGGTGAGGATAATTAAAAAGAAAAACATTTAAAAAAATAGTGACTGAAAAGGAGAAGTATTTCGTGTTTTTTATCAATTACTTAATTTGACCTACTACAAAAATGTTAATTTATAATATATTAATCAAGTTCAGACAATAAAAAATATATTTACAAATAAAATAAAATTTGTTTCTACCCAATCGATCCATTATTTTTTAAGATACGATGTCAGCTAGTTGGAAAAACATAATTTCACGAAAACCTCGTTAATTATTTTTTGTAGAATTTCCATAATAAAAATAGTAAATTTACCTTACCTACCTTTAATTAGCAATTTATATACTATAAAGTAATCCTTATTTCTGTTCAAACAATTGCTACTTTGAAGATTTGACATATGATTTATTTTGTTTCGACTGATACTGAAAGGGGAAGCACTCCGCTATCATGCCTTGGCAAATAACTTAAACACACTTCACTATAAATCTTTATTTCAAAGGCTTCAACTTTTTGATGAAATTCTATAAAACATACATATTTTTAAAAACATATTTTCACTAATTTAACAATTAGAATTTTCTGTACTAATATACCCTGTGGGTAACAAATTATGTTAACAGTTATTTAATTGTGCATTTATTTGTGACACAAAATAAATACAAACTCACCTATATTCAATCTGTTAACTTTGTATCTCCCTTTTAGGTATTCTATTGGACTGTGAGCGAGTATATGTAAAAAATAAGTTGGAGTTACTGGTCGACAGCTGTCCGGAAACAGGATGAAAAAGATCAATATATTGTACATAGATTTACATTTATGTTCCTTATAACGATTGTTTTATACTGGTAATAATAAAAATTGTAATGTTATTCTGCTAACAATAAGAAAAACAAAATGTTTTGTGGTCTAATGTTCAGTGGCACTATAACTTCTTATTTTATGTTTGCATTGATCAAAGTGGTTATGTAAAAAATACATTCATATACTTTTGTTTAAGATATGCAACTGTTATAATGGCTTTCAGTAAATAAATATTTTTATAATTACCTGTTTTTGCAGTTATTTAATGATATTTCCTTATCAGATGGATCTGAACTTAATATGATAAACAAGCCCTTGATATTGACCAGATTAGGAAGTTACAATGTACTTCAAATTTAAACTATAAATATCTGAATTAAAGGAAAATAATCCAATTCGAAAAAGTTTGAGTTGACCATTCAGTGACAAAATGGGAAGTAGTACTAACATTTGTGACTCTACAAGTACCATTGCTATGTTGTGCTGTGGCAATTACTGCACCACAACTTTGATATCAACCAGTCCTACCTTGGTAATATCAAGCATGTCATTGGGCGCCGGGTCTCAATAAAAATTATATCTATCACATACAGAGATAAAAACTTTGTTACTAAGAATTTCATTAGAAAACATGTATCTATTGTACTAGACAACAAAAGAACTCAACATTTATAAGACGCATGCAGTTTCGGGATTTGAGTTTTTACTGTGTTATATCACCTAGGTAATAAAACCAAGAAAGAATACAACCGATGATTACATTCTCTGCACATTTATGGGAATTTATGGGAATTCAATGCTTTAATAACATTCATTTTCAACAATCTTAACAAGCTATGAATAATTATTATGCTCTGAAAATATTTATTGTATTTCAGAAGACTTTAAATTTTTAAACATTCAATTCTAGACTTTATGAACTTCCAATAGTTGAACTACCCACTATGAATTGGATAACCTAACCTCCTAACCACCACTGCATCGTAAAATTAGTACCAGAGATGAGTTGGGAGATTGCTCACGGGCAGGGTCGCGCGATCGAATCGTGTGCTGCCCTGTGGTTTTGTACATGAGCTTTCACCGTTTTTGCCCCCAAGGGCGGCGCAACGAATTTCTGGTAGGGGCTCACGCACTCGCGATGGCGCTGCCATCTACCAGTCGCCGCTGGCGGCTCATGTACTCGTGATGGTAATACCATGCGGCAGTTGACGGTGATGGCTTACCTACGCTTACCAACACTGGTCGCATACGGAACATTCATAATTTTTTTATTAATTTCCGAGCTTATAAAAATTGTATCTACAGTATAACTTAACTCTCGAGCACCCACATTGTAATTTTGCCTGTATCATTTGCGGATGAAATAAATGAGGTAAGTCAAGGGTAATGTCAAAAAGGGCGCCACGAGTGTTCTTCAAATGCGACCAGTGTTGGTAAGCGTAGGTAAGCCATCACCGTCAACTGCCGCATGGTATTACCATCACGAGTATGTGAGCCGCCAACGGCGACTTGTAGATGGCAGCGCCATCGTGAATGCGCGAGCCCCTACCAGAAATTCGTTGCGCCGCCCTCGGGGGCAAAAACGATGAAAGCTCACGTACAAAATCAGAGGGCAGCACACGATGCGATCGCGCGACCCTGCCCGTGAGCAATCTCCCAACTCATTTCTGTTAGTACCAGGGGTATGACAGTGCCATGTATTGGGGTGTAACGCTTATGCACCACTGCCATCTTCGGTTGGAATACACCTTTTTCGCGAATTAAATTATTCGCCGGGCTATTTAAATTCATTTATTAAACGAAGGGACATTTTCGGGATTTAAAAAGTACTTGCAATGATTAAAACAGACGTTGCTTAAATTGACACACACCTCCTCGGTTAAATGCATAGTCGCGAAGGAGGAGAGCCGGAAACCCGGCTCGGCCGATCGCCGACGATTCGATTTTGATTCGCCATCCCTTTCCCCGGTTTGAGACAGACATATTAATCGTCGGTACCCCCAAGTGTCAGGAAGGGCTTCCTCGTGAGGGAGAGTGGATCCTGCTCCACTGCCCAGACCCGCTCGCGTCGAAGTGGCTCATAGTTCGCCGAACTCTTGCCCGCGCTCGTTCTTCAGCCCAGATCGTCACTCTTCGTGTTTTTCCGCCCCGTGCATGCACCAATCAGGTCGAGCAGCGAGGGTTCTTAATTATCCTCCTTCTCTCTCCGTTATGATTCTTGTTATAAGAATAAATAATTTCTTTCTCGGTTTGAATATTAATCCGTGCGGCCGGAGTAATAAATAATGTGGCCAAATTTTCAGAGAGATATATTGTGCCTGTATATTTATACGGATGGGAAATTTTCATTCAAATACGTGAAATAACGAAACGTTTTACATTTATTTATTTATTTTCATTTATCCAATTGTTCGAGGACGAAATACATATGTATAGAATGTATGCGCATTATATCCCGCGTCCACAAATTGAGATAATGCAAGTTTTACTATTTCAACGAATCGAATATGTATTAATTAGCGGAATTTGTTTTATTCCGTGTACTGTTTAAACTTTAATGTAGAGGGTCTGCCAGCTGATTCACTAATAAATCGATAAACTTTTGTCAGTTCGTACTTGTACGTATAATTTTTACGCTTCGGTTGGTAGTTACGGAAAGAAATGTATAAAATATATCAAATGCGTTGCAGAATCAACTTTTATTACGTTTCCTACAATTTATTTTATTGGCAAACATCAAATTTCTTCCAAAGATGCACAATAGACTTCTCGCCGATTAAAACTTACCGCTGCTGCGTTACGTGGTACCCGACCCCACCACCTGGCGGCGCCATGTACGGGAGGAAGGCACTCTTGACCGCCAGTTAACATAGGTGCTGTCACTTTAGACGTAGACACTGTTTAACATCACATTTCTAACCGAATTTATTGTTTTCAATTTAATAGTAGAAGAACGTGATATACTCTGCGCTCATCTATAAATCTAGGAACGTATTATGCGTTGTAGTATACACATGGAAAACCGTGTACACTGGACTCCATCGATGGCTTGCACCTGGTTCGCACTGCCCTCTCCGGCCGCGCAGCGTACTAGCGGCGGGAGCAGCGCGGAATTCGAATCGCTCTAGGGGCAGAATGGATTTCCTAAAGAAAATAAATATTTATATACAAAAACA